AGTCTTTAAAAAATACTGTGCGATATTCGATTGCGGCCAAATTTTATAGTTCAGACGTAGATATTTACCTTTACTTCTTTGCCAAATCGAAGTCCATAAGTATATAAAACCTAAAACATCTTTTAATAAACCCCGGAATATCCCGACACATGTGAAAATCTTAAATGCTAAGTTTTCGCTGTCCATACGGGCTATATGGCTATATTTATCATTAAAAGAAGAACCGCTTTTTCGTTTTTTGCAAATTACGGATTCGACATATTCAAAAAAATATTAAGATTACCAGAACAGAAAAAAAATTGATAGCGCCGGCAAGAGCATTAAACAAACGAAGCTCTGAAGTGGCTGGTGCATTCGAGGAAGATGCTGTTAACGATAATGGACAAAGGTCCATCAATCGATGCTAATATAATGATTTGAGAAGATGTCAACTGGATTTTTCAAACAAAAAAATATTCATAAGTACATCTCGACGCAAAACGCAAGAAATTTGCAATCAGTAATAGATTACATCATAGTTAAAGAGACAACGAGCTACTTGAACTTCAAGTATACAAAAAACAAAAATGATAATGGAAACACGGGCGAGCTCTGAGAAATAAGGTATTCAACAATACAATATGGAAAGCTTAATACACAGTAGGGTTAGAGAGCTATACAAAAGAAGTTTGGAGCAGAAACTTAACGAATCTCTTGCGACTGTTCCAGAGATAAACGGAAACTTGCTTAGATGATACACCTAAATAGGAGCTAGAAATAAGAAGGAAAACACAGAAATAAAATCCGGTGGATCATGTGGCTTAATACAAAATCAGAGGAGAATAAAAACAAACATGTAATGAACTAAAAACAACGATTTTTGCATAGAAACTATACAAACTGTTTACTAGGCACGTATCTTGTGATCATGCAACTTAGACCTTTTCTACCAAATTAGCATTTAAATAAGTTGGTAGCTGTCTATTTTCTGTCTTGTAAATCCACATCAAATTTTTTCTTTTAACGCTTTGCTCAACCGTTACCATTTCATTGCCTGTTGCATGTTCCTGACTAGAGTAGATCTGTTACAGTTAAGTATTATGCGCACTGCTTTATATTTTGCCACTTGTAGTCACAAAAAAATTAATAATTTGCAATAATCGTGCTTTCACTAGAATATTTGCCCATTCAGACAAAGACCGAGAAATGCGACGGAAAAAAACAACTTTTCACCTAGATCATTCATATGATTGGAAAAATTAAGCGCAGTGAATCTAATACGATTCCCAAATACCCCCAATTTGGATATAAAATTAATTACACTACCAAGTGATACATCAATCCCGACTGAGCATATTTCCTACAATTTGTTTTGAATTCTAAAACCATACATTTAGTAACAGATTTCTCGAGTCGCTAATGTTGCCCTACTCGTTGCAAGAGTACTGTAGAGAAACAAGTACGATCCTGACTATGATGCAACCCTTCCTACAGCCAACGCATGTTCAAGTTCAAGACGCTGGATTCGTGTACAGCTTCACAGCAATGAACTTCTTTTAAACGTTGGTTTTCTTTTTTTTAGTCGTTATTACCATTACGAGGAGTTATTTGAATTTAGAAGTGACGCTAGTTGCGATTTTGTGTGCATCTTTGAACCGCGATTTTACCGTAGACCACCAAGTAACTGCTACATTAAAAATAATAAAAATAACAATTTTTTATTTCAAAGTTATGTGTTCCTAAAGACAATATTCTAAAACACTGAAAGTTACGAAAACGTTATAGTGCCATAACAACAAGAAATTAACACATTCTCCTGGATGGATGGATAGGGCAACTGTGGTCTTAAAATACTACAGTATCAATTAACATTTCAAATATACACGTTTGATATTCTTAATTTCTAGGATCCTCTATATTTAGTAAACAATTATAAAATTAGATGCAATTATTCCAAGAATTATAATATGTTCCACTGTCTGCAAATGAATTTGTCGAAATCCGCAGTAGTGTCATAACAACAAAGAAAAAACACGAAAATGCGAAAACGAATCATGCAAAATTACTTCTGTAATTAACGTACTTTCATATCTCCAATGGATGTGCAAGTATGGTCTTAAAACTGCGTTTTATATCAATTGCGATGTCAATCACTGTTTGTTATACAGAATTATAAAATTTGATATAATTATAATATGCTCCACCCTCTCTATAATTCAAAGTTTATATCTTTGAAATCTGTGAAATCCGTGATATATTTGTAAAATCGTAACATATTTCGTTGTGAGCACTTTCTATCGGTGATAGCAACCTTTAAATAATAAACTTTAATTGAAATAAAAAATGCAAACATGCTATTATTAGATACAAATTTTTTAATTGTTTGCAGATTGGCGACTCGAGGTGTATTGTTATTTTAAATGAAATTTATTTTTAGGAGTATTCACTCAACTCTGTGATTCAAAATTATTATCGCCTTTAAATGTAATTTTTTCATGTACAAAAATTAATAATTATCGAAATTCGTTACTAAATGTTTTAAACGTACCATTTTCTATTAAAAAAATACGTAATTAAGTTATAAAGATAAATAATTTAATAAAGGAAACATTTTTCTGTATAAAATAAGCAAGTTTTACTTCTCGTATCCTAAAAATACCACCTCATTATAGCATAAAATCAAATTTTCAAATTTATGTGAGTTTAGTTGCTACATCAGGTCGACGTTCTCGGTATGTGATGCGATAATTTTTCTGTGATGTATACATATGAGAAAACATATCTAATGTACTCATTAAACCTTTTTTTAGAATTTATTTAACTTCTAACGTCATCATGTTTGAGAGGAAAGAAAAAAAAACAAAAAAATCGAAAAAATATTATTTACATATTCAATAATTAATTTAATTATTCTTTGTTTTAGCACGCTTATTTTTTAAAAGCCATTAACGAACCTTTTTAGAACAGTATCAACAGTCGCTGCCCTTATAAGTATCTAAGCTATCTTTAACATATATCACGAAGAAAACTAGAGAACTTTATTTCAAGTTACACAATCAGCAGCTTCCGTATCAATCAATTGCAATTCCATTTCATACAGTTCTTAATTTTTAATCATGATATTATAATAGAACGTAAGCTCTGGATAAATTAAGAAATAACAAAAGCGAGACCCTCGAGAGATTCTAGAAATTTCTCCGTAAATTGAAATAAGGTAATTTGAGTTCATCTTCTTTTTATGTGAATATGCCGTTTTTAATTATATCAAGTACCTGCAGAAAATCCATTATTCGATTACTCATCACTATACTCAGTTTTTTTTCTGGATAATAACATAAAATTTATATTTGTACATTTTAAGGTGATATGAGGTGTGTCCAATATATTTGTCACTTTTACTTGTGGGGACTTTTTTTAATAATATTTCGCTTAAGAAGACACATTTCGGTCTTCCAAAATATTTATCGCGAATTGAAATAGTTAATTTTAACAATTTAAGCAAAACCAAAACAAGTCCAGTTCAAAAATGTTCAAATATCCCGCGTCACGATAGCAATAAGTAAATATGGTGTCGTATAAAAATAAAACGCCTACATTATTATTGGAAAAAAGTGAGACACACATAACGGGACTGTGCGTTGTCGAGGTTTGCAAAAATATATATAAAGTTTAAAAGTTAATGTCCCATACGACATCACGATGACAATCGAACCAAGAGTAATTTAACAGTCAATAAAAATTAATTAGTTCAGTTTAATCACCTGGCCGTTAAACTTATTAACTTTAAGAAAGCAGAAAGAAGGCTTTATTTCCTATAAATATGAATTTTTAATTTTGATTGGTAAGTTTTGTTGCTAGACTAAGAAATTACAAAAACAAACACTATCAATTTTGAAATTTAGAACAATAAATTTACTGCTAAACTTAAAATAAAATTTAATTAAAAATCATAAAAGGAGTTAAAAGACCAGATCGCCTACAAAAATATTTTCAAAAAATTGTTAGAGTTTATATCCGATAATTTTTTTAATTTCGATAGACAAATTTACCTCTAGACAAAAATAATTAAAAATCGCGAAAGAATTTCCATTTTTAATAAATTTTAAACAAAATTTTGATCGATGAATTTAATATTAGAGAAAATAAAAATAGAATTTAAATAACAAAAATATTTTAAACAAAACAGTTTCAATTTGGATTGATTAATTTACTGGCTAAACTAAAAAAAATATAAAAAATTATTTAAAGGATTAGTCAACGACAAAAATGCTTTAAACAAAATGGTACGCTTTATATAGGATAAATCACAAAAAAAAAATGACAAAATGGTTTTAAATTGCTGATAGAGAAAAATGACTAAAGAAGAATATAAATTTACTGCTAAACTAAAAAAAATTTATAAAAAAGAATTTAATGATAAAAATATTTTAAATGAAATGGTAGACGTTATCTGCAATAGGCTATAATAGTAATAAATAGTAAAAAATGGTTTTAATTTAGATTAATTTACGGCTAGAAAAAAATAAAGAAAAATAAAAAAGAATTTAAATGCCAAGAACGAAACGGTTTCAATTTGGATTGATAAATTTACTGTGAAACTAAACTAATTAAAATTGAATTTAAGGCTTAACCAACGAGGAAAAAGTGAAAGAAGTAATAAATGAATCAAAAATCACAAAAGGCAAAAAAGCCAATCGACGGCAGAAATATTTTCAACATTTCCATTAGAATTATTTTTTTAAATTAGGTTGATCAATTTAATGCTGGGCTAAAACAATATTATTTTTCAAAATGTTTTGCTTTTATTTCTGATAATTTAATTTTTAAAAATCGTGTCGCGGTCCTATATAACAAAAATAACATCCATAGAATGATGAGATACATGAATAACTGTTGACGACTTGAGGGCAGCGCTCAAATTGTGATGAATATTCGAGTTATCGTTTTGGGTATTTTGTTATTCGACCTATGTGTCCGGGGGTACTAAAAAAAGCACAATACTCACGATTCGAAAAACTAACCAAAACTAATCCAGCTCTAACTCGCGACACACAATCGTGAAATCTTTCCAGAAGAACAAAAACGTTAACTACAGCGAGCGACACCACAACAATATCACAGAAAGTTTGTCACCAAATTCGTGCGACGGGCTTTACAATTCCGTTTCGCAGTCGCTAAACACAATCCGGCAAAAAATCCTGCTAGTATTGTCACAGAGCACTAGTGGACGGTCCATAAAATTGACCCGAATCGGCGGATTTCGCGTAAATTTTTCAGCGCGTTCCTGAAAAATCCCGATCGCTGTATACGGCGACCGCGTATCGTGACGTGAACCTCGACGCAGTCCGACGACGACTGGGTTGGCCTGAAAACCTGCCGGTGCGCTCTTCGCGACTGACTGAAACGGACTGAAGACTAGTTTCCCCCGGTGCCGGTGCAAAGAGAGAGACGCAAACATGCGCCGGGTCGCACGGAAAAGTGACGGAAAGATGAAGATCGTAATTATACGGGAATCAGAAACAACAGTCTTGTACGGCGGCGGCGGATCGGGTAGCGCCATGCAGTGTTAGCTAGTCGACAAAGGACGTTCTCTCGGATTAATTGGGGTAATCAGTCCGACTGAGGTTTTTTCCGACTCGAAGTCGCGCTCCGAGGGAAGCGGTCTGGGTTTGCTCGTTCTGGAGCCGCGAGGTTCGGAGGGTTGAAGGCTCACGCCTTGCTGTATTGTCTTTTAATTTGCCAATATGGGATATGGGGATCATTGTCAACCGTTGCAGCTAATTTCGATTGCCACAATTATTCGGCTCGATCAGGAGATCTACTTAGAGGGCCTAGGATTAGACGCAGAAAATCTGAGAGCAATTCTCTAGATCTGACCCTATACAACGTATTGCCGGGGTCTACAATGGGTTTGCGTAGTCCAAAATTAAAACAATGTATTAAAAGCCTACCGACAGCGGCATTGTTGTTAGTCGGTGCGAGTATACATTGACAGTGCCAGGATACTTGATGACGTATAACGAAGTGTAGTTTTCATTGGTACTAGATAAGTTTTTTGTTTTCGAGCTGCGTTCAAAAAGCAAAGTGACTTTTGTCATTGGGCTGGCTACGTACAGGCGATCTTCGATATAGTTTTTTGTTATGCTGTCATGTCCCTAACACAAGTTGACAGTTTCATTTAGTTTCCACGTTAACTTTTTTTGCATATAATTTTGTGTAAAAAAATGGAATACAGTGCTGCAAAACACTTGAAATGTCGACAACGGCATATGGTGAATCTTTTTGGAGTAAAAGAAAAAGTGGTACAAGCTGTTTCAAGATGACCGATGACGTACCTCGCTCTGGACGCCCCATTACGTCAATAAATGATGAAAGCGTTGAAGAAGTGAAACAAACGGTGTTGGAAAATCTTCGAATCACTATTGGAGGAGTGGCTGAAGACGTCGACATCTGTACTGGCTCGTGCCATGCATCAGCAATATTGGTTCCGAAAGTGCTTAATTTTGAACAATAGGACCGTGGAAGGAGCATCTCTCAAGAGCTGTTAAACGACGTAAATGATGATCGTGATATGCTCAAAAAGATCATAACTGGTGACGAATGAAGAGTTTAATAGTTTGCTTGGTTTTTCCACAGCCACAGAAAACGGCGTAGAAATTAAATCTATTGCGAGATGTGGATAAATTAAACTTGAAAATGATACTTTATCACGAATATAATTGACAGCTGCATTATCGAATCTGTATTCCCTAAGACTTAAAAAATTTCTAAGGTCCTTAAATTTTCTAAATCAAGGAGTATTATGATTATGATGTCGAAACCAAAGCCCAGTCGTCCAATGGAACAACTCAGAATCGCCAAACCGAAATAGGCACAGAGTTTTTACTACTAGTACCAGTGCTATTCTTAGTGTACACCGTGGATTTGCTCTCCAGCATTGATTCTCATGTGAGCGCTTATGCTGATGACACTAAATTATTTGGAAATCCTTCAACACGCGCGGACGTATTGCAGAGAGACTTGAATACTATTTCCAAGTGGAGTTCAACTTGGCTATTGCCGCTGAATGCTCGAAAGTGCTCTGTGATACATGTTGGCAAGAACAATCCCGGTTTGAATTATTATATCGATGGAAACTTTGTGTCAAGTGTCGATTTTCAGATGGACCTAGGTGTGACAATAACTAACGATCTTGCGTTGTCTGCACATGTATCAAATATTGCAAATAAAGCAAACTGCGCTTTATTTTTGTTAAAAAAAGACATTTAAAAATTCTAGTCCTCGCATCGCTTGCAGGCTTTTCACCACTTACATTCGCCCCATCCTGGAATTTGCTTCCCCAGTCTGGAACCCATGGCTATTGCGTGACTGTGATGTTCTGGAAAAAGTGCAACGAGTCGCTACGCGCTGGCCAGTTCAGCTTAGACATACACCTTACGACGACCGTCTAAAAATACTTAGTCTGCCAACATTAAGTCAGCGTCGGCTGCGAGGGGATCTCATTCAAATGTATAGGTTTGCGCATGACCAATTTCCATCTGACGTGCCCCTTGTGGTCTAAAGCAATGATGAACGCTTACGTGGTCATCCATTTAAAATAAGGAAGGAACAATTCATTACTTCACATCGCCTGCATTTTATAAGTGACAGGACTTTCAATTATTGGAACGGTTTACCCCCAGAAGTTGTGTGTGCGCCGAACTTGTTTGTATTTAAACGTCGCTTGGACAGTGTATTGTTTCACAGCAATAACTACAATAAATGTTTATTATATGTGTTATGTTACTAACTATCAATGTGCATAATAGGTTTTCCTCTGCACTTTATTCTTAGTAATAATAATAATAATAATAAAAAGTTCGTACGGTCAATAAGTTATGCGCAGTTTGCGAGAATCAATAGAAAATAAACGTCCGGAACTGTGGGAAAACAATTCATGGATTTTGCAGCACGATAATGCAAGGCATCGTTGCTTGTGCCTAACAAAACCATACCCATGCCTCAGCTATCGGATATGCTCCCCTGGGACTTTTTCCTGTTTCCAAAACTCAAGAAACTCATGAAAGGAAGGAAGTTTTTAACGTTTTAGGAGATAAGGAAAACATTGCTGGAAGAACTGAAGGCTATACCAGAACGTGCTTGCCAGAAGTACTTCGAGAATTGGAAAAAACGTTGCTACATGTATATTATATCTTGAGGGGATTACTTTAAAGGGGAAAATGTTAATTTTGATGAATAAATAAATACTTTTTCGAAAAATTTAAAAGTCACTTTAATCTTTCAACACAACTCGTACATATTGTAGTTTTATATATTTCATCACTTGCTATAATTTAACATTTTCTCGTGTAGATCCGGATATATTGAAAGTGTCGTTCTTTGTCGTTCTTGTCAAAAACATCATTGTTGTCTATAAACATATTATTAGCGGCCAACCGGAACTCGTTTCTACGAAAATGTTGTTCTACTGGTCCAATATTTTTCTAATTTAACATTGTGGTGTTTTCTTGAGGGGATTCTCTAGTCTACGGATGCGCTTTGTTGCTCTTCGCAATTTTCCTGCTCCACTTTTGTCTCGAGTCCCAAACATGTGCAGTGCAGACCAAACATTTTCTTAGAAATTTTTCCTCTTCCGATTGTTGTTTCCTTACATATGTAAAAGTACGGAGAAGTCAGAACAGAATTTTGTCCTGATTACTAAGGTTAGTTTAAATTGAGTTGATCTCATTATTCCTATGATTCTTAAGCGCTCGATTTTGTCTACTTAGCTGGAGTTAAGAATCACAGTTTGAATGTGAATCTTTACAAAGTAAACTAAGGTTTCATCAATTTATGGCAATGTTGTGCAACCACCGATGACCATTACATGGCATTACATTTTAAATATGATTCCTGGCATATGACCGCCACGGCTGCCGTGGACGTAGTCCAATCTGGACGTCCAATTTTAGATGACTTTTTCCAACATTTGTGGCCATATATCGGCAATAACACTGCGAATGTTGTCTTCCAAATGGTCAAACGTTTGTGGCTTATCCGCATAGACCAATGACTTTACATAGCCCCACAGAAAGTAGACTAGCGGTGTTAAATCACAAGATCTTGGAGGCCAATTCACAGGTCCAAAACGTGAAATTAGTCACCAAACGTGTCTTTCAATAAATCGATTGTGGCACGAGCTGTGTGACATGTTGCGCCGTCTTGTTGAAACCACATCTCCTGGACATCATGGTTATTCAATTCAGGAATGAAAGAGTTAGTAATCTTAGCTCTATACCAACTAACCAATGATTCCACCAGCCCATAAAGCGCACCAAACAGTCAGTTTTTCTGGATGTAACGGTGTTTCGACAAACACTTGAGGATTAGCTTCGCTCCAAATGCGGCAGTTTTGTTTGTTGACGTAGCCATTCATCCAGAAGTGCGCTTCATCGCTAAACAAAATTCGTTTATGAAAATCGGGAACAACGACAATCTCGTTTTGGGCCCATTCGACGAATCTACGCCTTACTTGACGATCATTTGGCTTCAATTCTTACACGAGTTGGATTTTGTAAGCACGTAAACCAAGATCCTTCCTCAAAATCTTCCGTAAAGTGGATGGACACAGATCCAATTATTGTGCTCGATGCCGGATGGACTCATTCGGATCTTCCATAATGCTAGGCTCTGCAGCAGCAATAGCTTCTTCTGAACGCCCCGTACGGCGTCTCTGGGGATGCGAGTTATCAATAAGAGTAAACGTGGTGTGAAAACGTTCCATGGTTAATCGAATTAACTGCTCTGATGGACGATTTTGTCGACGATAAAATGGACGTAGTGCGCGATACGTATTCCGCACAGAACCATTATTTCCGAAATAAAATTGCACTATTTGCAAGCGTTGTTCAGACGTGAGTCTATTCATGATGAATTGCCAAACCAAACTGAGAATAAATCACTTGGCAGCTGTTAAATCGGTCGCCATCTTGAACAGTAATGCCAACTTAATGTTCTATACATAAAAAAAAACACCTAATATATGTGCCATTTTACGATATACAATCTAAGGATGGTTAAGGACGACTTTTATTATTTAACAAACTTATTAACGATCTTTCCCAATTTGTTAAGCATCGCCATTACGCATTTTTATAATTAATAGAGCCAGCAGAGCCAAATAACTTAGTTAATATTACAAATAAAGTTGATAGGAATTTATCTAGACACATCTCTAATATGACTCCGGTTACTTGTGTACTCCAATATCTGCCCGATCTAAGACTAGGGGTGGAGTTAAATATAGATTAAATACAACTACTTCGAATACAATATGTATGTAATGCATATTTTGTAGAGTTTTCTTTATCACTGGGTTGTTACTAAACACCTTTTGGAGAGAGAGAAGGC